TCCTGTATAGCAAAGGACACCATCATTTGAATGAAGAGGAAACCTACAGAATGAGAAAAAAACTTTACTAGACATACATTGGACAGAGAGCTAGTGTCTAGAAAATACAAAGAACTAAAAAACCCTACATATTAAAAAATTAACTCCATTAAAAATTAAGGCAAGGAACTAAAACAGAGTTTTCAAAAGATGTAACATAAAAGGCTGAGAAATTTGTTTCTAATGTTCAACATTTAACATTAGCAATAGGAAAATGCAAAATAAAACTGCTTTGAAATTTCAGTTTACCTCAGTCAGAATGGTTAAGATCCATAAACAAAGACCAAATGCTAGTGAGGATATGTCAAAAGGGGAAGATTTATTCACTGCTGGGAGGATTGCAAACTGGTGTAGCCACTATGGAAATCAGTGTGGAGATTCCTCAAAAAACCATAGATGATAAATCTACTACAGGATCTAGCCACACCACTATAGAGATGTTCTTCCATGTTCATTACTGCTCTATTCACATTAGCCAGGAAGTAGAAACAATCTAGATATCCCTGAATTGATGAGTGGGTAATGAAAGTATGGTATACAATGGAATATTGCTCAGTGGTTATGAAAAACATAATTATAAAATTTAGAGATAAATGGATAGAACTGGAAACAATCATCTTGAATGAGGCAAACCAGAAAGACATTGTATGTTCTTTCTCATAAATAGATCCCAGCTTTGAATCTTTAGATATGTGTGTTTCAACGGGAAATTTCATAGAGGTCAGGAAATTAGTAAGGGGGCATGAGAAGTGGGGAGACATCTTGGGAGGGGAGATATAAAGGGGTAAAGGGTAGCAATGGAGTAGGAAGGGTTAAATGGGGTGGGAACTTGGGAGGGCAGGGCAAAGGAGAAAGTATGGGGGCAGATAACTAACAGTAAAGACCTTTTGAAAAAGACAATGGAGACCTATCACAATAGAAGGTACTTAAAGTATATATACACACAATGTAAAAACATTTAAATGAAGCCATCCTATAATGGGTGTGGGTAGGACAATGGCCCTACCAGACACCCTAGGCTAGCAAATAAAAAGCCCTCATGCTAAGGTGAACCTTCTGTCTTGAAGTGGTTTACTAGAAGTTTCATATACCTTCAAAAATACTGGTTATTGGTCTTGTTCTTAATTAGAACTCCTTTTTTTTTTATTTTTAGAACTCTTGATCTGATTATATCTGAAAACACTGTCATAGGTATATCCAGAGGTACACTTCATTAGTCTCCTAGACACTTCTTGTTCCAATCAAGTTGACACAGGGCCTAACCTTTGCTCCTTCTACTTCAGTAACCATGCTGCTTCCTCATTTAGGATCTGTCATCCAACCTGCATCTGTTGTCCCTCACTTGGTGTGCCTTCAAGAGGCTGAGCATAGTCACCTAATAAATGAACATTGTATAGTGTCAGCTGAGTGTGTTCCTGCTAGCTTTAGGTCTTAACAAACTGGAATGCTGGGCCTCCTTAGAAGGTCTTTGCTTGGTACACATTTCAACTGCTGTGACCCTGGTCCTTGGCAAGATATCAAGTACAACTGACAAATATGAGAACTCATTAGTTGCAGACCCAGAATTTCTCTTTCCACTCCTTTTGCAGGGCTAGGTACTCTTTACAGAGTGAAAAATGAACCTAGACTTAGGGCTCTTTGTCATCAAGAAATGGTCTAGGATGCTTCAGTAGATTTGTGTTTTCCCTCTGCCTTTCATACTCCCCACACAGTGAAGACTGAAGTCGCTCCATTTTGCCAGTAAGGCAATCCCTTGCTCCTGCCCCTATTCCTGTATGTGCTGGTACATTAAAGAAAAGGAGATGAGAAAAATGGACTGATATAGCATCTGGAAGCTCAAGGTCTAATATCTGGAAAGATTTACACAGCTACTGGAGCTGCAAGACACCAATAAGACAGCTGCCTCTGCTGGGAGTAGGATGGGACAAGGTGGTTCTCCCATGCTCTAGGTTGAGCTACAGGCTTAGCTCAGCAGACAGGGTAGGAGTGGAAGAAAGACAAAGTTCCCTCTGGTACTCCCTCACCCTGAGGGACTTGAATCAAAGTTTCCTTTAGGGTTAAGATTATTTTCCAGACTGAAAATCAAGATTTTGGTCTTTCTCTCCTCTGTCTATGGTAAACATCAAGGACATAATCCTAAGGGGAAAGGGGACAATTTATAGAATTGTTGTAATGATTTTAGCTCTCATTGTGTACATCAAGGTGGCTTATTCTGTTGGTGGTCATACATTGCTTTCCTACTCACCCTTGATCCTTTTTCCTTTTGTGCTCAGGGAATTATTAATATTTCTCCTAACTCCATACACAACCTTCAGCTGCTTCTCTCTTCTTTTCAAGGTAGAGTAGTACCCTTACTGATGTCTGTGTCTGCTCCCACACACGCATGGGTCTGTCTGAGCAGGGATCTGGGCATGGGAGAATACAATCCATAGGAAGAAGATTCAAGAAGTGCCACTTTGTATAGCCCCCGATCCCCAAATAATCACTAGCATCTACTAAGTGTGAGCTGACCTCAGCACTACTCTCAGAATTGTGTGACTGCTGCCTTGCCCCACATGCTGTATTAGTCAGCTTCTTGTTACTATAACTAAATATTTGAAAGGGCTACTCATGAAGGAACAAAGTTTATTTAGCTCTCAGTTTTTCCAATGGAGAGTTAAGTTTTTTTAAACTGTAGCTTGACACTCTAGTGTCATTTCTCCAGCGTGTAGCCCAATAGCTACAAAGTCATTGTTGACTAGAACCGGTCACTCATCACTCATCTGCTGACATTTATTCATTACTATGTGAAGGTGCTGTTCCAGGTGTTTCAAATGTATCAGTACACAAGGGACAAAAGGCCCCTACCCTGATGAAATTTATGTTGTACCAGGAAATGGCAGACCGGGAACAAGAAAAATAAGCAAGCAAGCAAATACAAGATGGTGCTTGAAATAGGAAACAGTAACTGAAGAATAGGATCAAAGGAGAAGGGAACCTGTAATTTTACCTAGACTGTTACCACAAAGACTTGAAGGAGGTGAAGGAGTTGCTAGATAGCTGTCAGAGAGACTAGCATTCAGGCAGAGGGGAACAGCCTGGGCAAGGCCCTAAAACAGGACAGTGCCTAGTGTGTTCAAAGTATGTGAAAGGACCAGAGTGGCTGAAGTACATAGACTGAGGGAGACGGGATCAGAAAAGGAACAGAGGTTTCATAACAATAGGGCCTTGTTGGCCATTGTAAATACAGGGGGAATTGGGGTCCCCTCAGGGGACTATTTATTAGTCTCATTAATAAAATGAATTTAAGAAAGGACTCAAGTGGAAGCTTGAGGACAATGCCATTCAAGTTTAAAAGAAAAAAATCTCCAAGGCAGGCAAGCTGGAAACATCAGCTGCGGGGAGTAGGAGAATCAAAGCGAGAAGGAAAAAACGCCATGCTATTTAAATAGGCATGGAGGTCAGACAGGGGGCTGACTAGCAGCCATAGGGTGGGGACCCAGACCTTAGAAAAAGAGCAAGGAAGCCAACAATGTTGGGGAAGTCCAAAGTGTTAGAGAAAGTGTTTAAAAAGAGACAGAAAAGAAAAGGACAGGTTATTCTTTTCTGAAGAATTTAATGCAGGCAAACTTAGGAAGCTGCATGGCTGTGGTCAGGTAAGCTATTGCCTGGTTCTGTTTTTAACGTGTATGTGTGTGTGTGTGTGTGTGTGTGTGTGTGTGTGTGTGTTTTCTATGCATGTGAATTTTTTTATTTTTAAGCATGCTAATTCTCTTGTGTCTTTTCATGCTGTGATTCTGAATATGAGCTTTCTGTCCTCTAAGCGGTGGTGCGTGGTTGTGTCTGGACCCTCCAGCCAGAGATTCTTGCAGGAAAGAGTTGTGGCTGTCTCTTATCAGCAGAGGGCACGAGAGAGCCACGGCCATAGCTCCAGGCCCAGCTCAAGATTTCTTGGCTGAAAGCTTTTAGGGACCCAGGAGATCAAGAATCTGAGACGAAAGAGGCGGAGACGTCTTCTGATGAGCATCACTGGAAACTTGTGCAATTTCTGTGACTCGTCCGTTCTTTCTCCTGGATTCATTCCCTGGGACCCAGACTTGCAGGAACCCTGAGCAGCCTAGTGAGGATTTGGTTAGGGATAGGGGGAGGAGCTACCTATTACACAGGACTCTTAAGAGAGAGGACCACCCTCCTAAATACCCTCCCACTTCAGTTCTCCACCTCTGTACCCCAGTGCAGCGTGCTTAGAGATCCTTCGGTGGCTTTCTTTTCTGGCCTGCTTCTGGAGAGGCGACAAGAGAAAGCCATCGAGTTGCTTGGCTCTCCCTCTGGATGGACAGATGCCTGGGGTGAACAAAGGAAGAGTCAATTGTTCCTCTTCCTGGCTACTTAAGAACTCCAGCGCCAAGGCTGGTTGAAGCCTCCCGAAGGGGCTCAAAGACAGGTTCAAGAAGATTCTCCAGTCTGAGATTTGTAGGTGGGGAGAGGAATGTATGCTTCTCCCGCTCCAATATGCAGTAGTCAATGAAGAATTCTTAATTTAGGCATCTAGGGTTAGAATCTGGGGTGTGAGATTAAAACGAAAAAAAAAAATATCTTAAAGCTTTTAGACACCGCCTCCTTGCTCCACCCCCGCCGCCCCCGAAACATTCAAGCACACCCTTCCCATCATAGTCACCCTCCGGATGAAGGGTCTTCCTCAGCCCAAGGCGATACCCATTCCCTGCTCAGCTCTGCCAACCCGGGCCAAAAGTAGGTCCGTGCGCCGGAGAGGTGCGTGTGGGCCAGGATCCAGAGATCCTTGCCTCAGAGCCCACGAAGCCTCCACTCCCACCCCCGCCTTTGCCCTCAATTCCTTTCTCTTCGCTCTCCTCCCATCTTGGTTCCAGCAAGAGTAGTGTGTGCGCGCGCGTTGGGGGACAAGGGGAGGGCAGTGGAGGGAGGCGCCGTCGGAGTGAGAGCAGACGTCAGGAGGAGGGAGGGAGCCAGGGAGGGAAGAGAGGGAGAGGAGAAAGGCGCGGAGGTCGACTGAGGCCCTGGGAGATAAAGCTGGAGGGCAGAAATTATTAGGGGGCGCGGGTAGAGAGGAAGGGCTCCCAGAGAGCCGGCGTAGCGGGGGAGAGAGTGTGCGCCGAGTGTGTGCCAGCGGCGGGAGGAGTGTGGGGCGCTGGGGACTCGCGCCGACTCGGGCCCAGCGGCAGCAGCGGCGGGCGGACAGCATGCTGAGCCTCCTGGTCTGGATCCTTACGCTCTCCGACTCTTTCTCGCAAGGTAAATCCCTGCTCTGGCAGGGAACGCGCCGTGGGGGAGTCCTAGGGAGGGACTCGGAGTCCCTCGACCGGCCAGGAGTTTTCCGTGGACTGGCCCAAGTTGTTTTCTCTGCCTGCGCGGGAGAGTAGAGAACTGGGGCCAAAAGAGCCAAGGTCTGAGGAGAAAGGGATCCTCCGAGCGCGCAAAGTCTTCCCTCCAGCTTTGGCATTTTTCCCCCCCCGCCCACCTCCCCGGCTAAAGGGCCGGACTCCTGGGTCTTGGCCAAGGGAAAGGCTGGGAAGAGTAGGATTTCAGATTTGGGGGTGGAGTGCTTGCATCTGAGGAATCCTGCTGCTCCAAGCCAGTCCAGAGGCACCTCGATCTGCCTTCCGACCCTGCCAGGGAGGCTGTGGGTGAGGGATAGAGTTCCAAATATAGGGACTGGTTTGGAGAAGGGCACTTGACTGGACAGGCACTGACTTGGGGGTGAGGAAAGTTCCTAAGTCTAGGGCTCCCTTGGAACTGGAAGGGCAGAGGCTAGAAAATGAGTAGGGTGAGAGAGGTAAGGGTGTTCAGGCAGATTGGGCAGGGTGTCTGTGAAGGAATCAAGGGTCCAGACCTAAGCCAGGACTGGGATCTGCGGGAAGCAGGATTTTGCCTCCTGAGACTGGCTCCAAGGAACATTTAATCCTGTTGCACAGCCCCCCAATCTCCCACTCCTGTTGGAACACAGAAATTCACACACACACACACACACACACACACACACACACACACACACAAACAAACAAAAACAGTTTAAAACAGAGACTGGCTTATCTCCTGAGACACAAACATGCCATATGCAGAGACAGACACATACACCAATACAGTGACATCTCTGAAGAAGTCAGATTTCTTTTCCAAGCCACTCACACTGACCTAATCATACACCCCATATACCCAGCAGCCATCAAACACACACATGCATGAATGTCACAAAGGACATGCACTCACATGGAAGTGATTCCCCACCCTAACCACGGAACAAAGAAAGAAACTTGGTTAAACATTCTCATAGGCAGAGACCTATGGAGATGCACAGTGTACAAAATGGAGGAGGTGGTCTCTCTTTGAGGTGAGGGAGTGATTCTGGGAAGAAGGAAGAGGGAAGGCACTGGATGGAAAGAGCCTCCAGCACTGGCCAGCTCACTTCCTTTCCTGAGTGATATGGGGAGGGGCCATGTTTCCCTGGACTTCTCCTTTCTTTACTAGTCCTCTCCTCTGACTCTGAAAGCATAGCCTGGTTGAGTTCAGGGCTCTTGATTCATCTTTCCTCACAGGACCCCAGGGCCCCCAGCACAGCCTTAAAATCCATGGTATGAGAGGAGTAAAGCAGGGTTGGGAAAGAGGAGGCCTGAACTCAGGGCTGGCCACTTGGCAGAAAGTTGAGATGAGTTAAGTTCTCAATTTTTTTGTCAAGGCTGCCAGAGAGGGAAAAGTAGAAAGACTGGTGTAGAAGTGGGAACTGGGTCAGTTCTGGTATGTGTTGGGGGCAAGCTTCTGTCTGCCTGTCTCCTGTAGCAATCACATGGATGAAAATTAGATTTAAAGAACAAAAACTGCGGTTAGCAAACAGAAGAGACATGTAACTTGAGTCTGGACTGACAGAGAGAGTGTCAGGAAGAAATATCTGTTGTGTGTGTGCTTTTCTACCTTTGTGGATGAGAGGGCTAGGGAGCACAACCCAACCCAGCCCTCCTGACTCTACCAGAAGTGAAAGCAAGCTGCCCCATGAAAGGATGCAGAAGTATTTGGGGTGGAGGTAGAAAATAGCAAAGGGTAGGAAGTGTCAGGAGGGAGAGGAAATCACTACTGAGTCTTTGGGGGACACTTAGCAAAGAGCAGGGAGGAGACACATAAGGAAAAAGTAGGCATCTGGGGACACTGATAGTTTGGAGAGTGAGGAGCTTAGGCCACCCCTCTCCTTAATCTCCACCCAGGCCAGACACTGTGGCAGGAAAGAGCACCCAGTGGGTTTGGCAGGGAGTTGTGGGCAGAGGGATGATGGTCAGACAAGAGAGGAACATAGAGGAGCTAGGAAGTGGAGAGTCAGCCTAGCTGAGAAATAAAAATCATGTTTTAAAGAATTTCAATGGGCTTCATCAATCTTCATTTTTCACTAAATAATTTTCTGTATCTTATCTAAATGAAAACCATTATCCTTCCCCCATTTGCAGCATGCCCTAGCTCCTCAGACTGATTGCGCTGAAAATTGAAATATTTATTCATTTTCTGGGAGATTTTCTTGCTCCCTAGTCTCAGGGAGGAGAAATTGAAAAAGAAAGATTGTAGCTAATCAGAACAATGTGGGATGACAGGATGGCTCCAGTGGGAGCAGCCTCCAAAGGCCTATGGCTCATGGGGTAGGAAGAAAATCTATCCCTCTACCAGGAAGGGGGTTTCTCCTGCCTGTTCTGCCTTTGCTCCAAGGGGACTAAAGGATGAAACAAAGAGGCCCAAGGCCTCTTAAATTCCCAGCTTTTTGCTCTCTGAGCACAGCTATATCCTGGCAGAGAACTGTGAGCCTGGATGCTCCCATTTTTTTCTGTACACACATACATGCCACACACTCCATGTGTACTACTCCCCAAAGCTGGGTACTGAGCTGGGACAGAGGCAGAGAAAGCTGGCAGAAAACAAGCTGCACGGTCCCTCCCTGAGCTTTATTAGATTCTATCTTCTGCCTTCTACTCAGACTCAAAGAGAGGCTGAGTACTGGGTGCCACAACTATGCATCTGGAACACCAAAAACAGGTCAGAAGGTGATGTCCACACCTCTTTTTGCTGGCCTCACTCTGCCTTTGCTCCCCAGTGGGGTAGGATGATGAAGCCCCCCTGGTGTGACTCCATGATTACAGAAAACTGCACTTTGAGGAAGCTTCCTTCTGGATGTCCTTGGGAACATCTTTATTCCTCTCTGTTCTGCAGTTTAGAGCACAGTGCTGCTATGCATGCAGACTGTGCCATTAATATCTGATCAAGTGATTGATGAGAGTGCTGCAGTGTGGAGGGTGGTAGTGGTAAGTGGTGATGAAAACACAAACTCTAAGCCAAGCATGGCTATAATCCTAGTATCTTAGAGGCCGAGGCAGGACTGTGAGTTCAAGGCCAGCTTGGGCTACCTACCAAGTTCTAGGCCAGTTGAAACTAAACAGTAAGACTGTGTCTAAAAATAAATAAAATTAAAATTAAAAAGAAGAAATGAGACTCATTTCCAACTCTCCTACCTGGTGGTCTAAAGAGGTTATGTTGTCTCTGGGTGCTTCAGTTTGCTGTCTGTTACAGTAGGGATGGTGATAAAATATCTCATAGGGTGGTGATATATTAATCTATGGATTATTAACATATGCTGATCTATGGAAAGTACAGGGAATGGTTTCTGCAACAAGTGCTTAGTGACTGTGTTTATGACTTTGTGTCTGACAATAAGTGGTCAGACTGTTGAGTTGTCTGCTCCTCCTGTCCTTATGATTTTCTTTTTGTTTTCTAGCCCCAGCTCCTCTGGTTCTTGGTCCTAGGCTTCAATCAGGCTGTGCTTTGTGTCTCTCATGGAGAAAACCTTGGTGGAACCTAAAAGATAAAACTCAGTCTTCCCTTTGATTAGCGACCTCAGAAAAGTCTACAGAAGGGATCTGAGTAGGGCAAAGTGGAAAAGTTTGACATTCAATGAACTTTTATGTGAAATGAGAAAGGATCCTTGCTCTGAGGGGGTAGCATTTCAGAGTCAGAAATAATATGGATCATTTAATAAGTTCTTGTGTCAATTACTTTAAATGTGCTCACTAATTTAATCTATACAACAATCCATTGAGATAGACTCCATAATTATTCCCATTTCATGGATGAGAAACTGAGGTTCAGACATATAACATATCTTGTCAGTAGTTGCAGGAACCAGTTGACTCCAAAGCCTGCACTCTTCCAATATGCTGGAGACCCCACAGCTGGCAGGGACTAATTGATGCCTGGCATCAAGATCATCTCATTCAAAAATTTAAAACAATCTTTTATTTATTTATATTTTATTTTGACATTCAGCCCGATATTTTTAATGTATGTTTTGATTGAGTTTTGTGCATTTTGTATAATAGATCTAGTTAAATTTAGAACCCCTTCCCAATTTGCACCCCTCCTTAGACCCCCTACCAGATTTCATGCATTCTGTCATATATGTTAAGGTTTATCCTGTCAAGCATTTGTACCCAGATGTCCCTCAGTACAAGGGTGCAGGTTCATCCACAGAAGTCTAGCCAGCCTACCTAGAGTCACTCCTGTAAAGATCTATACTCTCTCAGCCCCACAGTAATCGTTTGCCAATAGTTCCTGCTGCCAATTTCCCCCATTCTATGCTGGGTTTTTGCCTGATTGAGTCGGCATGGGTTTTGTGCATGCCAGTATTTTAATCACAGAAATAGAAAGTAACTAGGACACTTAGATTTATTCCAAAATTCTTGTAGGCCATCATAAATAACATTTTTTCTGAAGTTTCTTTCTCGACAGATTTCTTGTTTTTGTAATAATTTTGTATCTTCCTACTTTGCTGAATGTATTTTTCAGGAGTTTTCTAGTGGAATCTTTAGGCTTCTTTATGTATAGAATCATAGCATCTGAAAATAAGGATATATTGACTTCTTCCTTTCCAATTGCTATTGCCTTTATCTCCTTCTCTCATGGGTCTTATGCATGCTGTCATCACTCTTGCAAGTTCGTATGAGCAAGTTCCTAGAGGCCTGAAAGCCTCTGTTTCCTTATGTTCATGTACCAACACTGGCTCTTACAATGTTTCTGCCTCCTTTTCTGCAATAGTCCCTTACCCATGGGTGGGTGAGGCGTAATATAGAAGTCCTATCCAAGTACACTTAGTCTGCAGTCTCTTATTCTCTAAAACTTGGCCAGTTGTGGCCTACTGTGCATCACACTCTGTTGTATGAGGATGCTTCACTGGTGAGAGTTGAAGGATGTATTAGTATTCTCTTTAC